AAAACCACTTACACAGCCTGGAATGATCCAGAAAAAAAACTAATAAAAATCAACAACTCAGACTGGGGTTGTGGTTCAGTGGTAGAGCACTTACCTAGCCTGTGTGAGGCACTGGGTTCTATTCTTAGCACCATATATAAATAAGTAAATAAAATAAAGATCCATCAACAACTAATAAAAATATTTTAAAAAAAGAAATCAACATCTCAAAAACTTAGGGACTTCTATATCAATTTTTGAGAACAAGGTGGAGTATGAAAACCTCAATCTAAAGTAATGTGAATATATATAGCTGAGATTACTCAGACATTTTTCTGCAAACATGTTCCCTAATTGAACATCTATCCAAGAAACTATAAAAGTAGTTGGCCTAGTTGGCCTTAAAAATCTGGAAAACCTAGTAAGAAAGCTTTTGGTTTGGTTTATAAATAAAGCCAATAGTTAAGTATCTTCTCTGTTAGTTTTCAGGGCAATCATAACATTGATGAAGAAATGCAGAACTCTTCAGCATATAGAAATCCCAGTATTTGAAAGATAATACTACTACTAGCACTTTCAAGGAAGAGAAAAATAACTGCTACACTATCCTGGAATGTCATTCACCAATGACAAGGTGCTGGCAGGATTTCTTCTGGGCCACTCTATTGAGCAATATAGTTAGCCACGTGTTTCTGGAATCACAGTACAGAACAGTTTTCTGTTGCAAAACATTACTACAGAGGATCTTTGCAGGAAATAAAAACATGAAAAAAATTCTTTGAATAATTCTAATYTGGTTAATTCTACCAAAACATGACACATCAGTAATATATTATAATGACTTGTACTATGAGGCCACAAGTATGTTTATCAATATTGAAAACACCTACTATGGAGATAAGGACTAGCTTCCTTGTTAAGAATTCAAGGCCATATCGAACCCACAGATCATAAATGAAAACACTGCAAAACACCCGTTTTATCAAATGGCTGTATTTTTTTTTAAAGGCCAAAAATAACACACATACAATTCCAAACTAGACAGTCATCAAAAGTCCTAGGCACAATTTTCCAAAAATACTGAATAGAAATAAATTCATGATACCACAGACAACTGCCTTGATTTCTTTTAAGTGAGGTCCAAGAACTTAGTCATGAATTAAGAAAATAATTACATACAGCTATGTTCATCCATAACAGAAAGCTGTTCCTCTTCTATCCAAATTTATAACATACTGTTAAATGACAACCTGTTACAGAGGGTATGGTGTTCCTATTATTCTTTTGATAAGCAAGAAATTGAGTCATTTTGGCCTACACATACTTAGATCAAGAGGTAAACTGAGTTTTTTCCATTAAATATTCTCTAGGCTCAAAATAATATTACACTGGGCTTCTTTATAAATTCCACAGATTTTAAGCAATGAGGCACATACCATATCAAATCATCCCTAAGATCCCTGAATTAGTTCATCAAAAATGAAATCACACTATAAAACTTTTATTACAGAGAATCTAACACATGCACAAGATAGGTAACATTATAACCCTTCCCCATCTCTTCAGTGCTTCCTTACTCAAATATCTCTATTTTATCACTCATAAAAATTATTTAACAAATGATCTCCCTATAAGGTTTTGAGCTTAAGAACCAGAAATCTATCTTGTTTATCTTTATTAATCTCACTATGTAGAAATACCCTGGTCGTAACAGTCGTTTATGGAACACCAAATGAGTTGAGAACAGAGTATCTATGACATTTGTACAGAAAGCTAAAATGGACAAACAGGAAATTGGACAAAGTAATTTTTAGGAACATACAATAACAGGATCAAAGAGGCAGTTGGTACATTAGGGAAAAAGCACTGGAATATCTTCAATTCTAATCTAAATTTTGGCAACAATGCTATAACTCAAGCAATTACTTTACTTCCTTGTAAAATAAAAGGGAAGCCTCAATAAGCTCTGTATTTCCTCTCATGCTATAATAATGATATGAAAATAGCAGGATAACCTAACTCCTGAAAAATAGCACTAACAGAACAAATATTATATACCACAGCAGATGATATGACTCTGAAGCAAAGGATGGAACATGCAAATCCATAAATGCTAAGAGGTCACATCCATAGCCAACCAAGAATTATATACACACATCCCACAAAATGGAAATTACCAACACATATCCTCATTCTGTTAAAAAAAAAAAAATCAAAGACAAATGTGATGATTTAGAAAAATAAATGCAAAATAATTTGTTATTCCCTAATAGAAATTACAATAGATCACATCTAGAACATATGCACCATGAATTGAAAGGCTCCTTAAAATGAATTACATCAATTATTTAGGCTGGGATATTTCACAATATTTTAGCAAAAATTAACCTTTAATAATATATACATCTGTGGTACATTTCCTCTTCTTTCAACATTAAAACATGAGCCAGGTGCAATGGTACACACCTGTAATCCCATCTACTCAGGAGGCCGAGGCAGGAGAACCACAAGTTAGAGGCCAGCCTTGGAAACTTAAAGGTAGGAACACTGCAGCCAGCCTCAGAAACTTAACTAGACTGTGACTCAACTTTTTTTTTTTAAAAAAGGAGGGGGGGCTAGGGATGTAGCTTAGTAGTAGAGCACCTCTAGGTTCAATTCCCAGTGCTAAAAGGAAGAAAACAGAGAAAAGAAAAAAAAAAACATGATAGGGATCAAAGACATTCCTAAACCTAAATACCACACTCCCAGACCTATATTTCAATTTCATAATCAAAATAAACCTTTGCTTTAAAACAAATGAACCTTCTGCCTCAGAAAAAAAGTAACAAGAGTAATCAATTTTGAACTTGACTAGCAAAATTATATCTATAATCAATATTTTTAAAAATATAAATCTATTCTCAATACTGTAATATATACTGTAGAAGATTTTTAAAAAGAGAGACCTAAAAGTTAAATCCTGGCCCATAGGAAAACCTTCCCAACTTTATTAGCAAGGTAGTTTGGGGGGACTATAAAGATACAGTCACATTTCTCCAATATTCTTACCAAGAAAGCAAACAAAACGAAGAAAAATTCCAATGTGCATGTATATTTCAAGATGATTTTAAGCTAGAGGAGGTCCCAAAAAAGAAATGTTACTAAACAGATCCAGATCTATGGGAACAAAATAAATTGTACCCCAAAAGGCATTTCTAACAAAGGCAACAGAGACCCTGAATGGATAACCTTGCAAAGTTTAAACAAAACAAATAACTTTTCAACCAAAATTATTAAAGATAACAACAAATCAAAACACTTAATTTACACAAAACAATCTTGAAGAAAAAAAAGCATTAATTACTATGAATCATATTTGACATGTTCAAATATGAGGTTTAAGTGACATTTCTATTTTTTCTGTTTATGGATAGAACTATTTACTCCTGCTATTGGCAGGATCTTAATTAGCCATACACGTCAATCAAGTCTAAGAAAGACCAATGACCGAAGAAATTCAGCTATCAAGCAGGCTAAATGATGATAAATTATGTCCTAACTAGTCTTTAATGTCAACTGGTCAAACAACACTATTCTAGGTCTCTTCCCCAAATTCAGATCAGGCAGTCACAATTCTTTATTGGTTGCAATGTTTCAAGATAAAATAATACTTTTCTTTACAATCTATCAAATACATTTACATACATTATTTCATTTTAGATTTCCACAACCCTCTGAAGTAAAGCACGAATAATTATCTTTTTTTCACTGATGATTTAGGGAAGTTAGATCACTAACACAAAGATCGCTGCTAGAAGAGTATATAAACCAAGAGTAAAACCCACATGCTCTGACCCTATGTAATTTATACTCAACAATGTCTCACAATAAAAATAATTCTAAAAGCTATTGAACTTAAAGTCCATACTTTTCCCACTTTAAACCTTAATAAATGCCACAGGAATTCAAATATAGATTTTAAAGCAAATGCAAACAGTAAAAACACTAGTCTAAGATCACATTTCTGAATCAACAAGTTAAACAACAAATGTAATGTTCAAGCACAATCCAAATACTACAGTATGAACACCTAAAAGTTAAAAAAAAAAAAAACTATTCTAGTCACCATACCACACCATACACAACTCTGTATAACACATGCTGTTAAAGAATAGTTAGCTCTATACCATTTACATATACTTCATTTAACTTATTCAAAATAAAAAGGCCGAAAATCTTCACTTTCCCTAGTTTTAATCTCCTTTTGGCTTTGTTATATACTTTAGTCTAGAAGTCTCCACAGTGAAATGCATAGGATTTGGGTCTGCAAAGTCCCCAAAAGGGCCATGTGTTAAAGCCTTGATTCCCAGTTCATGATGCTATTGGGGAACCTTTAAAGGTGAAACTTAGGTGGAGGAATTAGGTCACTGAAGGCATGTCCTTGAAGGGGGTGCTGGGACACAAGTCTCTACTTCTTTCTTCCTCTCTTTCTCTGCTTCCTGAACACTATGAGGTAAGTAATTTCTTCCTCAACATGCTCACACTATAATGTACTCCTCTGACATGGTCCAAAAGCAACAGGGCCTTACAACTAAAGACTCACACCTCTGAAACTGAGACAAAATAAAAGTTCATTTCTCTCAGGCATTATGTCAAAATGATGGGAAGTTATAATAACAATCCACTGGAATGGGGAGGTAATGATTAGAATGTCGTTTCCATTTTTTTAAACCTCAAAATCAGAATTAATTTTTACTAATAGTTATTATATACAAACCCACACATAAATTTATAAATATACATATATTGGGGTGGGAGATATGCTCAAAAACTTTCACAGAAGGAATTACTATTCAAGAAAAGATGGTGACCACTCCTAAAAAGCAATAAAGGAATATGGACTTTAGTGGACAGACGACTCTGGATTCATCAAATAATCAAAAAAAAAGACAACCTATTAGAAGATGTTCAAGACCCTACAGTGCATATTCAAAAATTTTTCAACTATATTTGCATAATTCAGTGATACAAATGTAACTTACCTCATCCTGGACTCCACTGGTAGTAGTCAACTTGCTCCCATCAGTAATTGTAATAATTATTGCTGGCTCCAAGAAAAAAGGGTTTCTTCCCTAAAGTCAAAAACACATCATTCATATTAAAAAGGTTAAGACTTTGGCTTTTCTTCCCTTTTTGAGTAAAAAAATTTCTCAGAACAGACTATATATAATTCCCCTGAATATATACAAATTTTTACATATATACCTGTTTTTACATTTTTAAAAAAGGTTTAGGACATAAACAGTGGTTAACCCTGGAGAAATAGAACTAGGTAGAAAAATGTATTTTTCACTTTTTAATATATTGTTGTATTAATTTTTACACTGAGCATTTATATTATGTAATTTAAAGTATTTAATTTTTTAATGGGGACCCTAGTAGTAAATTCTAATAATCTGACTTTTTTAGCTATTACAAATTACCATAACCAAAAGACAGTATTTTCTGAGAAACTTGCTTTAAACGCTTTTTTTAAAATAAGAATTTTAAAAGGAGGCAAGACAGGAGGTGAACATTATCAGAATCTATGTCTGTAATCAAAATGTCCAATCAAATGACTAGGTATATGGACAAGACTATGAGAACTGGCACCAGGGAAATACTAAGACCATTCTGAGCTTAGCAATAGTGCAACATGAGAAAATGCCTGGAGAGAGGAGTACAAAAACAATGGCAGCAGAGACAATGAATGAAATGGCCTGTCTGTATAAGGAAAAAATAACTTATAAAATATCTTCCTTTCAAATTGGCCTCTTTGAGTAATATAATCACTTCTAGGAGACATTTTGTAAGACTTAGACAAACATAACTGTGTATATACACAGTTCCCAATTGAGCCATTAAGCACATTCAGTACAACTCTTTAAGACTAAGACCAAAGCACAGAAGTTTCAAGAGGGCCAATCTCGAAATTCAAATTGAAGGTACAGTCCTCTTTGTGCCTGTGGTCTCAGCAACTCAGAGGACCAAAGTGACAGATCATTTTTTTGAGCCCAGTAATTCAAGGCCACCTTGGGCAACACAGTGAAACACACCCTCCCACTCTCCCCTACCCCATGATAAGCAAACAAAAAAGGAAAAAAGAAAATGGAAACTACCAAATTCTCTACTACTAACAGTAAAACAGTAAACTATTCAACTAGATTTGAATAAAGTTTTATTGGCTATGATGCAGAACCATGTGACAAATCTTAATGTATATAGGAATAACATGCAGTTCTTAATAACATGCAATTTTTAATTCAGTAGGTCTAGGATGAATACCAAGATTATGTACTTTTTTTTTTTCTTCACTATTGGAATTGGAATCTAGGGCCTCACATGTTAGGCAAGCACCCTACAACTGAGCTACATATTCAGCACACACATTCTGCATTTCTAACAAATAGGAGATGACAATGCCCATAGACAACAATTAGAATAATCTATGGTTCTAACATCTTTCCATTGCATTTATAATTTTCAATGTCCAATACATTATAGTATATCCTCAACATTTGTTGAATAATTTTACATAGCAATTAAGTGGTTATAACCTAATCATCATGGATGGAGGGAATTTGGCTGGATTAAACATTTTGATCATATCATGCAACTTACAAGTCACGCACATACTTCTCAAATCAGTGCCCAAGAAAAAGGTAAAAGTTTCTAATGGTCAAATAAAGTTAAAATGTTAGTTATATAATTTCTAGAAGATTCTGAATGCATAGCAACATCAAAATGTCATAAGTTCTTATTGAAAGAAAACACGAATTTACAATCCTTTCCTCCTCATGTTAGACAGAATGCATTTTGGGAAACACTACATGATACAATGCCTCTCATTCCATTCACTCTCAAAATAAATAATAAATCCTAACACAGGTCTTCTCATGAAGCTAGATCCTAGCACTCATTCTCACCTCAGAGCTGTTTCCCTCAAGTAGAATGCTGTTAACTTTTCCCTGCTCAAAACCTATCTGATTCCTATTCATTCTCTAAGGTCCAGTTTAAATCATTCTCTTCTGTGAAATCTTCCCTTATTACCCTGGTCTTCAATAATCACACTCTCCCCTCTCCAAATTCTAATAATGTAAATTTGCAAATGGTTAGTTAAATAAGATAGAATGTTCCTTCAAATAAAAATCATCTGAATACCTCCTATCAGGAGTATTTGTCCTCTTACCTTCTCAATTTTTTTTCTTTTTTTATCTTCCTTTTTTGTTTGTTTGCAGTGTTGGCATTAAATCTAGGGTCTCACACATGCTAGGCAAATGATCTACCACCAAGCTAAATCCCCAGCCCATAGTACATCCTCAATATTTAAATTCTAATTTAAATAAAAACTGAAAGCTAGGCACAGTGGTACACACCTATAGTCCCAGATTCTTGGAAAGCCGAGACAGGAGCTGACTGTTATCAGCCCAGGAATTCTAGACCAGACTGGGCAACAAAGCAAGACCCCATCTCAAAAACAAACAAATATACATTTGAATATATTCACAAAATATAAGTATATATTGAGCAACAACATATGTACAACAATGTGAATATACTTAACACTACTGAACTACAGACTTAAAAATGGTTGATAGTAAATTCAGGGCTGGGGACATAAATTAGTAGTAGAGCACTTGTCTAACATGTTCAAGGCCCTGAATTCAATCCCCAGCACCCTCCCCCACACCCAAAATGCCCATAGTAAACTTTATCATAAAGTGTTTTTAAACACAATTCTTAAAAACCACACCAGTTTGTATTGTTTGCTATTGTTTCATGTGGGTCAGCAAAGGATTGTCACTTTTCTTCTACACAACTAAGCAAGCACTGAGAACAACATATTTGAATACTTAAACATTCATTAATTCACTGTCTATAGTCTAAAACAAACTTGCTCAGGTTCACAGTTAAGAGTGTACCCAAAACTTTAAGTAGCTTCAAAAAAGTATAAATATGCTGTTACCTTTACTTCAATATAAATGAGTTCTCCCTGAACACAACTTGTGAATTTACTGCATTGCGAAGGTATTAAAAGGATCACTTCCCCCAGTACCACCAAAAAACAAAACTACTTCCCTCTTGTGTTTGTACAACCATTGTGTCATTGTGTCATTCCAACAATTGAGTGGCTACTACATGTCAGGCACTGTTAGGTGCATAATCCACATCTCTAATCCATAATAAATGCATGTACATATGCACACATAACAATAAATTCCGTCTTTCTTGGTCTCTACAAATCACATTTTAGTTCAAAGGGAGATCAAGAAAACCAAGATGCCCTAATATCTTCAAAATTATTTTCTCTCTTTCACCCAACTAAAACTACTTTTGTTAATTTGTTGCTTTACAAAAATAAATCAGCAAAACTCTGAAATCTACCATATTGTAAACCAAATACTTTGGTCTTCTGTATCACTTCTATATTATAATATAAAGGCAAATTCTCCGACCAAAAGTCTTAATACTTATCCATTACTATTCCTATAAACACAGTGACAATTATATTTCAGAAGCAGAATTAGTCATATTTGTAATTAAGTAGCAACAGTATACTATATTAGACTCTTATGGATGAAGATGCCCACCCCAAAATTAAGACCATTGGTTGGCCCTCTGTATCCATGGGTTCTGTTTCTTGTTTGTGGTGCTGGGGATCAAATCCGGATACTTACACATCAGGGGTTCTTTATCTATGAAGTCAACCAACCACAAAGGAAAATATTCAGAAGAAAAACAATTGTGTCTTCTTATTCTTATCAATATGAGTATTTATATAGCATTTGCATTGTATTAGATATTCTAAATAACCAAGAAATGATTTAAAGTAGAGAGTAGAATATACATAGGTTATATGCAAATATACTGCCATTTCAGTATTGTGAGGGGCTATCAGGGATTGAACTCAGGGGCACTCAATCACTGAGCCACATCCCCAGCCTATTTTGTATTTTATTTAGACACAGGGTCTCAATGAGTTGCTTAGCGCCTCATTATTGCTGAGGCTGGCTTTGAACTTGCGATCCTCTACCTCAGCCTCCTGAGCCACTGAGATTATAGGCATGGGCCGCTAGAACCAGCATTGTGCACAGCTTACTCTACTATTTTAGATAAGGATTTTGGTAACTTGGAGGTCCTAGACTCAATCCCACAAATACCAATGGATGACTGTGTGTACTTTTTAAGAACTATAATGTCTAAAAGTAGTTGAATTGTATTAACACTTAGCAGAAAGTTGGAAGTTAAGTTTAATCTAAAAAGGTAAACACTAAAGTCAAAGTTACTTTTTCTAAGACAACAAAACAAAGAGTCTTATGATATACATAATACTCTTGGCAGAGGCTATGTATGAAAGTACTGTAATAATTTAGCTCTCCATAAAGCAATAAAGCAATTATCTACTTTGAGGTAAAATGTTCAGTGATTAAATGACATAACTCAAGATGGTCTAGCAGGTAAATTGCAAAGTCAGTACTTAAGGAAGATGTTCCAACTCTAAATCAGTCTTTCTGGAGCATCATAAGTACAACAGGTAACAACCAATAATCTTGGATACACTTCTACATCAACTTAGTTTTGTGCCTTATTCGCCCAATGATGAATGGGGTGACAACCAGATTGTTGTTCTTTTTAATATATTTATCTGAAGCCAAAGTAACTATGGTAGTATTATTCCTTTGCATGGTGACTTCCTGTTGTTCTCTGATTATTTACCCAATTTTTAAAATAAAATCAAAATATGTTCCCCAAAACATGCTTGAATAAAACACAATATACAGGAATAATTACTTTTAGAAATATACTCTTTAAATTACATATGATAATTTACAGTTCTATAAACATGTAATATATACATAAACATATAATTTCAACTTTTACAGACTATATATTTAAACACAAGATAAAATAATGTCCAATAATGGCTTTAGATTTTGGAAAATTCAGATAAAGATCAAAGATAGAAAAAACTAAAAAATATGATCAATCCCTTTGCACCAATTTAATTACCCACCTACCATGTCTAAGATCCTTTCATCTCTAAGATGAAATAGTCAAGAATCATTCTTTAATATAAAAATTAAAGTAGGAA